TGGTATCTTTCTGATATCTTGAGATAGGATCCCTGACCTACAGACTGCAGAGGACCCTAAACCTGTGCTCTCTATAGGGCTTCCTCCTTTTTCTTCTGTTCTCTAGTGACCTGAACACCTCTGGCTTGGGGAATTATTGTGCAGAATTCCCACACCTGCAGGCCCCACTGCTTGGGCCTAACTGCAAAACACAAACTTAATGCATCCCCATCCAGACAGGATTTCTCATCTCTTCTCTTGAAAAAAGGTTCAGAATGGCTGTTCCCTTTTTAATTTCCTCCCTCATTGTGTGGCTCTCTGCCAGCAGGGGTGTCAGTGCACCCTGGCTTTCAAAGCCTTAAGATGCAATATCCTAGAAGGCACCCATGCGGGGGTAATAATTTATTTACTGCCTCCTTGGGTGCATGCATATAAAACGGTGTCTCCATAATAATATGGTGATCCTGTTGATAATAACGATGATGACACCAGGGGCCAGACACTTACTATGTGCCCAGTGACTGAGATAAGTCTCTGTTAGTCTCTTTCTCTGTTCTGTCTTTTGTCCTTTCTTATTTTCTCAGCCTTTTCCCTTTGTGCCTCTGTCATTTCCTCCCCCACCTTCCCACTCTCTTTTGAATGTCCATCGTACAGAACTACAGTCTGTTTTATCACGGCTGTAATTATTGGCATGAATTTGATAGCTATGTCTGACCCTAAAAACATAAAGCAAATCTATGTCTCTGTTGTTTATGCATATGAACACTCTTCTTGATTTGCTCCCAAATCCTTGATGCTAAGAACATTCTCTCCCTGTTTTTTGTTGTGGGCTCTTTGAGAGCAAAGACAATTTTGAAGCCATGGTCAGTCCCTTGGGGAGCCTGTCCTGATGGCAGTGATCATAATCACAGCAATCATAGCAACAATCTATTGTTCCAAGATATATAAGTAGAACACGTTGCTGCTGCCCACGCGGGAGAGGCAGCAACTGCAAAGGAAGGTATAACAAAAGTAACTGATGATCACACTGAAGGTTTCACCCAAAGCTTCAGAGCCAGCTGGTTCAGATGGCAAGTCCTGGAGCTTCAGAGCCAGCTGGTTCAGATGGCAAGTTAACTAGAGCACGTTAACCAGGAGCACACTGTCCCCAGGCTCTCAGCAAAGGCTGTCAGGCACACACCAAGAGAGCATGGAGGAACACCAGGTTGGAATCAGACAGACCTGAGCTTAACTCCTGCCTCACCCTGTGATCACGCATGTGCTTTTGGCAATGTATCAACCCTGATTCACTTTACTCATGTGCACTCAATCAGATTGAGTGAGAAAATGGATATGTTGCACTGGCTTAGCGGTAGAGGTTAACACATGCCCTTATTTTGGCTAATATTTATTAAGCACTTTCTCTGTGCAATGCATGATATTGATGCCTTAACATGAGAAAACTGAGGCTTAGAACAGTTGAAGCTGCCCCAAGATCCCACATAGCAAGAGGAGGAACTGGCATTGACCCACTGCCTAATTTCTCCTCCAATAGTTAACGACCAAGGAGTAAAGGATGAAGCCTGTCTGAAAGCTCAGATTGTCAAGTCCATCTTTGCAAGGCATTGCTGACATGCTACTACTGTTCATGGACCCATGGACTCCCCCATGCAGCCCACTTGCATAGATGTGCAGACACTGTAACTCAGGCTAGCCCTTCCAGATTTCACCAGACCTGCTTCTTCCATGGCCCCTAGGGTGGGTAAGACAAGCAGAAACTGTGGGTGAGAAAGAAAGGGTAGGAACAGAGGGCTCAGCCAAGGTAACAGGCAAATAAATCGCTCAAGTAATCCCATCACTTCTCAGGAGCTATAGAGGTTAACTAGCTGATGAGTAAATGTGTTGTTGTGGCGCCATCTTCTGGGCCTATGTTCATTGCAACGAATTTGTGGCAAAATCAGGTCTAGACCTCCAAACCGTGGCTTTTTCATCCTGCCTGGAGATTATAGGCCAGCAGTGTCCTGGGACCTGGGGATGGTTCTATTGAGTCTTTTGTGCTTTTTGGTATATAGGGTTTTTTTCCTTCTAGTTTGGAGCAATGGTTTGCCTGAAACAGGTTATAAAATCCTGACATCCCCAATTCTTTCATGGAAACCACAGAATCCACCTTCCCTGTTGGGACCAGAGAAGGACTCTTCATTTATTGGTCTTGGCTTTTGTTGGGGATAGGGAACATTTCTGTCACATAAATATGGATCCCAGCCAGCACATGTACATACATAAAATATAGTTTAAGCCACTGCAAAAAAAATATTAAATATTGTTTGTTCCTCCTTTTAAAAACTTGTCTTCAGTGATTTACAGTGAAAAGTTTGTAGATATTTCTTTAAAGGCTAGAGTATGACAAATAACTTCTGTGAGGCTACAATAATACTGCATCTGGCAACTAGGCTGTTGGCTTCATAAGGGCCAGAACTGTCTTGCCTTCTAAAATTGAGTCACAAACATGTGACCAAGGACCACACACAAAAGGCCGTCTCTGCCTTCATGGAGCTCATGGCCTGTGAAAGACCCGGCAAGTCAGCACACAACTAGAACAGAGTATGGACAGGACCACGTGATCACACAGAAGGAGAGGCCTTGCCGAGTCCAGGGTAGGATCAGTGCCAAGTGCCAAGGATGTGTCCCCTTAATACATGGAGGTTTGCCATGTCCCTTGACAGTTGACCACCAGCCTCAATCTCTGTCCACCCTGAGAAGCGCTCATTATCTGTCAGTTTCAGCAAAACCACAGATGACTTACTGAATATCTAACCCTATAAAAATCTTGGTTGTTGTCAAACTGCATCATCAAAACTGTCCTGGACACTCGGGACAGGATCAGTGCTTGCTTGCCCTTGGAACAAAGAAGGTGACACTCAGCCAAAAGCCATTTAACGTTGTGTGTTAACTTGGCTCTCTTCCAAGTAAAGCCTTGCTCTCTAGGATATAAGTGAACATGATGATGGGCTTCTTTTGTTTTTATTCTTTTTATTTATTTCTCTTACTCCTCAATTTTATACAAGAAATTAGAAAAATTAGGTGCTTCTGAAAACCCATTTGTAGCCATTCACTCCGCAGCAAACACTTATTGATTTACAATTCTGTACCAGTTACTGTGCCTGGGGTTGGGGATGTCACCACTAACAGGACATTAACCTGCCCTCAGTTGCTCCGTAGACTAGTGGAAACCCCAGGCCAGGATTCAGATGTTTGCAATAGAGTGTGGGAAGGCACACGTAAACATAGAGCAAGTCCAGGATGTCCAGCCCAGCAGAGGAAGGGAATAGTCAGTGGGTTATCCATACGCCATGGCCTGCTTGAGCTGAATCTTACTGACACAGAGTCTTAAGGAATTGATAAGGCAAGGAGAGCTCCTCGCTGTTGGTCTGTGTGCACCTGTGACCACCACACTGAAAGGCTGGTCTGGAGGCCCATCATGCTCTTTCTTCCATATTCAAAGGGATGGGAGGCAAGTTGGGACCCTTGGTGCACAGTTTAGAGGCTTCTGTATTTGTTCTGCAAGCCCATCTTTCTCCTAGGTTGCCCCAAGGTCCTGGGGGGAAGGGTAGAGGTTTTCTACGATTCTTGCTGAACCTGAACTGACCTGCACCAACGCTCTCCAACAAAATATACCAGATGCCCTGTGTGTGAGGTCTCTTGGACCTTTGCCCAGCCTGCAGTAGAGGGGATGCAGGGCTGTGACCCTCTTCCATCCCTGAGTCTTTTCTCAGATGGGTTTAGTGTTCTTAAGGGGCAGGGCTGCTTAGCATGCCATCCGTTCCCCAAACACCAGCTGTAAAGCTTGGTGTTGTCATCCAAATTCCCTGTGCTAGTTTTTGCAGTCTTTCCTTGTTATTCTCTCATACCTTCTTTAAAGCTTTCCTTTGTCATACTGTGAATTCAGGGAAAGAAGAAGTGTCCATGTCTCTCCAGGAGTTAAGTCACTTGGTCAAGGCAGCATGATAGAGCTGGTCTTGGAGCCCAGGCACCGCTGGCCCCTGGGTCCAGCTCCAAAGCACTCCACGGCCCCGTCCACAGCTCTTCCTCCCTCCAAGAGAGCTCTCCTTCATCTCCTATTCTAAACACCTGTGTTAGAGTGGGAGCAAGTTGACTAGGTGAGCACATTTCTCACAGGCATAAAGGGGAGAGGGGCTGTTGGCTCTGATGTCAGCCAGCAGGTGGAGACAGACCACATAGGGGGCCTGAGTTCAGCTTCAGTGCTCTGTTTAATACTGTAGTCCTACGTGCTTTCAGCAGCTTTGTAAATAAGCCTTTTCCCTCCTAAGTTTATCAGTATAAAAAGAGCACAATAGATAACCAATAAAATACAATTCCTTCATTTAGTGGCAAAGGAAAAAGGGGTCTCTTTCTGCTTGATGAAGTTCTTTGTATATAACCTTTGAGCTTCAAAATACAATGTATATGATGCAATTCAAATGTTTCCTGCCAGTCATTTGAATTCCCATTTCTACCACTTCTCCTTAGGTCACAGTTAGTTTTTGCTCCTTTAGTCCAGGGGCTAAATGGGAATGTGTCATAATAGTCCTGGCTTGTGGACTGATCATACCTGCTCACGCCTCTATCATAGCATGTGCATTGGGAGCTAACTCTGCAGGTTTGGGGGCCTTCTAGGGGGCAATGCCTTTTTTGTGTACCCTAGAACAGCTCATCATGCAAATACAGTCTAAGAAATATTGGCTGGGAGAATGACTGGATAAAAAGAAGCCCCGTGAAAGCTGGCCCTGTAGGATTCCACTGCATCTCTCATGCTTTCTATGATTAGTAGGTCCAGCTGACTTGCAACAGGATACACAGGCCACCATTTGAGCCATTACGTGGCATGGTGTATGGATTTGCCACTTTTTAGGCTCACCTGCAAAAAGTCATCGCCATGAAACACATTTTCTCCATGCTGTGCAATGTCTACCCCAAAACTGAAGGTACTCCTTCCAGGCACTGTGCCTTATGAGCTTACCCCATCCCTGTTTCCTTTCCAACAGCGGTCCCAGTCTGCATTCTCCATCACTGGAGAAGATGCCCTGAAGACCTCTTCACTGGAGACTGCATCCAGGCAGCCGAGGGAGCGAGACCAGCACTCCAGGGAGGAGACGGATCTGCCCAGCTGGAAGAGCGTGGATAGGCTGGATGAAACAAGTAACTGTTTTAAGCAGCATCTAGTTTGTCTGTGGGTTTCAGAAGTGTGTTTGGAGACTTCCTGGCAATGGCATGGCCACTCAGCTCTTCTTTCTATGAGTCTGAGTTGGTGTGTGTCCCTCTAGGGCAGCTCAGTCACCAAGTTGTGAGGCCCCTAACCAGCACAAAATAAATAATGTGATGGTGTTTTCAGCCTGGGTAGTTTTCCTAGCTGCTATGGCAGAATGACGGCTCTTGAGTTATCAGTATGCCATACTCTGTGCTGAGGCCTGTGGGACACTGTGGGACTCCTGGACAAATGTGTACTCCCCTCTTCAGCTGTCTGTTCTATGTGGACTAGAAGAATGTGTCTTATGTTGGCCTGGGGCACTAAATAAACCTATCAGGACATTCCAACTTACAAAGGAATGGGGTCCCAGCATCAGTTTTAAGGGCATCCTTTCAGAGACTGGATATATTAGTTAGGGTAACACCTGCTGCTATGACAAGTAAACCAAAGCAAACCACTTTCAAGTGGCTTAATACAATAGTTTTCTTTTTTTATCACACAGTGCAGTGCAGGTGTCCCTGGTCTATGGGAGAACTTCAGAAGCCAAGGCTACTACCTTATGGCTCTGTCATCCTCTGGGGCTGTCTTGTGCTGAATCATCCACATTCAGCCAGCAGGTGGAGGAAGAGAGAAGGATGAAGGCAGGTATCTGCTTCTATCTATCTCAGGAGGGAGACATTACAGAGCTTTCACTCCCATCCTGTGGGCAGGAACTGGTCACATGGCCCTACTTCAATGCAGGGAGACATGAGAAACATAGTGTTGGCTGAGCAGACACATCCCAGCAGCGTGGCTCAGCCATGAAAGGGTCTTTGGTGGGCAGTTGTCTATCCCTGCCACACCTGAGGGTGGCATTGCAGTTTGTTGTGCCTCTGCTCTCCCTGCTTCCTTCTCCTAGAATGTCCTACCTCTCATGAGGCAGTTAAACTCATCTCTCCAGAGACCCCTCAGCATCTATGACACATAGTTCTTTACAAAGCTGTTGAGTCATGTAATCCCTCAAAATATAGAGGTTCAAATTAGTCGAGTCACTTTCCTAAAGTCACACATCAGAAGGCTATAAGATGCTTGGACTCACACAGGTGACAGCTAAGTGCCATGAAGCCCCAATACTCAAGAGATTCTTGGACCATAGGACTGTCGGGGTAAAGGTACCTCCATCCTTGCGAACATCCATTCTTTTCCTCACCCGAATAGATACTCTGTGTAGTAGAAGCCAGGCACATTGGTCCTCATGTGAAGAAACCACTAACAGTATTCTCATCCCATGTTCTCTCAGATCTAGACCCCCTTTCCTGAGCAGCAAAACCAACAGCAAAAAAGATTAGCAACAACATAGCCATCCTAGAAATCAACTTTTAAAGATTGTACTATTATTTCTACTCTACAAGGGAAAAGATTTAATCAATAGCTATATAAACAATTTCATTTTTATCATGGTGCAAAGAATCAGAAAACATTGAAATTTTTAAACTGCCATTCTAAAGAGTTACCGAAAGAGATCATTTTCATGTTAACATCTGAGTATCTATTAGTAAGAAACTGCAGAGCCATGACATTGCAGCGATTCTGTAGTGCATGATCTTGTCTTTATTTATGTGTCTGGTTTTTGATTTTTGTTTTTAAGTGCATGTTTCCTTTCTAAATGCCTGTCTTTCTCCTGCCTGCTCAACATATTCACATTTATTCGTTCATTCATTCATATTCTCCTTCCCTCTCTCCCTCTCCCTTTTCCTTCCACTCTTCCTCTTTCTCTCCTCTTTCTGTCTCTCTCTTTCACCCTCTCTCTCTCTCCATAAATTGCAAATTCCCACAGAAAAGGAAGTCTTACATTCCACCAAGCATATGAGGCTGTTATATAATAGATCTTCAATAACTAGCTTTTTAAAATAACTTTACAACATACAGAGTCCATACACAGCACTATTTGATTTATTCCTCCCACAGTGTTGCTAAGCACTGACATTATCTCGTTTGGCAGATAAAAGCATTGATGGGCAAGGGAGTCGAGTGACTTGTCCAAGACCCCACAGCTAACTTGAGCAGAGCTGGTCATCAAATCCAAGCATCATGACTCCGATTTGCAGGCTTTTTTCAATTACGGTGTGATAATCATTGTCTCTTCACCATAAAAACAAACAAACAAAAACCAACATTTCAAAATCCAGACTTACAAAGTGACACATTTGTAGGGTATTATGAAAACTTCTATATAGTGCTCCATTTTATAAAATAGTTCCCCACTTGATGGTGAGCATTTCTAATAAATTTGAAAAGGAATTTGACTTTCAAAACATGATTTTGCACATAATTTTCTATAAAATTAACCACCCATATGTTATCAATTGCTTATACACATAAAACTTAACAGCATTACACACAAAAAAAGATTTCATAGTCTGCGAAAAAATCCTTGAGTCTTTCTGAATATAGATTTAAAATAAAAAATAAAAGCACTTGGGTATACAACTTGTGATTTTCCTGAGGAATGTTCAGCCCTTGACATGCTAACATATCCATGCTAACCCCAAAGGACTTGAGGGATGTCTCATATGTTTAGCGGGCAGCAAATTATTCCCAGTAGCAAGGTTCAGTCGCAGTAGAGCAGAAATGTAGAATAGAAGGCGGACTGGAGGTGGAGGTTATCCTACAAGGTTAATGTCCACTGAGCTATTTTTAGCAGTTATATTTGTGCCTCGGGAGGAAGGTTGGTTCAGGAACCTGTTAGTGAACAGTTGGATTCGGCCTTAGGGACACTGGTCTTGGGGAAACCACAGCAACTCTACTTTCAGTCTTGACAGTACTTACAGCAGTAAGTGGATTTCCCCCAACTACATTTCACTTTATAGACCTTGGTTGACCATTGACTCTATGTGAAGGGGGGACCCCCCCAAAATATGGAATTTATTTACTAAAAAACTGTATACCTATTCTTACATGTTTAAACTTCAGTCACCTTCAAAGTACTCTCTGTTTGATACAATACACCTATTGAGACACTTTCTCCACTGCTCAAAACAATTTTTGAACTCTTCAATTTTGATGCCTTTTAGTGCTTCTACTGTTTTTTGTTTCACCTTTTCCACATCAGCAAAACATTTCCTTTTGAGGACTTTTTTTTTTCATTCCAGGGAAACAACAGCAACAACAAAAAATAGTTATCTGGGGTGAGAGCAGGTGAATAGGGATGGTGGGGCATGGGGGTCATGCAATTTTTGGTCAAAAACTGCTGAACATTGAGTATGGTGTGGGCAGGTATGCTTGTAAATCACCCATCATGAAATGGGAAAATGCTTTGAAAGAATCTCAGGAAAAAATAAAATTCACTGAAGCTGAACACAACCTCTCACAATGTTGCTGGTACACAAATGCTGATGGTTCCTAGAACACTTGCCTAGCAGGGGAAGCCTGTTACTATAAGGGGCTCGCCCTCCAAAAAATAATTCTGGGTTTTTTTGGGTTCCCCTCATACACAACTTGTGCTCAGTGTTGGCGAAATAAAGATCAGGGGATTGTCGCTGCTCTGGAGTTGCTCACTGAAAGTTGTCTGCACAATGATGAAAGAGCAGGAGTTTGGAGAAAGGAGGGGATGGGTGGAGAGATTTTACTAATGGGCTAAGAGAATGTGGTACTGCTGCCCAGGTACAGCTTTGAGCAGTTCTGATGATGCAGCTTGACAGTCACCAAGGTTTTCATAGGGTTGGGTGTTCAGGGCGCCATCTGTATTTTTGCTAAGAAGAATGGATTTTTGCTGAGATAAAAGTTGGTCAACTTCTAGCTTCCCCAGAGGCACATGGCAACCTGGGGTAGTAAAAGGCAGGAGAAGAGAGGAGCTGGCAGTGGGCTGAATCCCTTTCTATCCTGCAGTGGGTGTTGGAGTCTGGGGACCATATTTAAAACAACGTGGTCAATTCTGGAGCCAGGCATTGAGTGGTGTTATTGGGGAATTTACCTCTTTGGCTTGCTTTCAGGCCCCAGGATAAGCTGTAATCAGCAAGGCTCATTGAAAGCTGCATACCAAGAGCCCAGTCTTGCCCCTGCAGCCTGTTGGTGCTTGTGTTCGTGAACAAGTAGTCTTTATCCAGGATGTCCAAATGGGGCTTAGAGCTGGCCAGCAGCTGGGAGCATGGCAGCAAAAAGCACTTGGTTCTGCCCTCAAGCTCATGGTCAGTGTTGGAGGGTGGGGTAGATAATCAGAAACATAAAGTGTAATGTAGTATAAATGTTATGAGATGAAAAGCCTTCTGGCAAAGCTCGGAGAACAGAATAACCAGCTCCTCAAGAAAGGAAGGCCAAGAATGTGCTACTGCACCTGGCAAGTTGTGCCCTTTTCACTCATTCAGGAATCGAGATTTGGAGAATCACACAGCTACTAAGTGGCTGAGTGGGGTTTCTCTGACTTTGAAACAATTGGTCATCCCATGGAACAAACTGACTCTGGGACAGAGCAGGCTCATTTGCCACTAAGAATAAAGAGATAACTGAGCTCCAAGCCTGCTTAAGGACTTTGTCACCTGGAGGAGGGTCCAGTGTGTGTGTGATCAGCCAGAACATGAGGAGGAACATGGAATGAGCCACCCAGGTTATCATACTAGCAGAGCTCAGAGAGAAGAGGCCATAGTCAGGCCATGTTCAAGAGACAAGAATGTGCACCAGGGAAAGGTGGAAGTGGGATAAGGTGTTGGAGGGCCACTGGGGTCTTACCCCATGGAGATGGGGAGAAGGATACTAAAGGCAAAAGCAGCAGGAGAAAGGTAGGGTGTGTGGCCTCAGGTTTCCAGGAGGGCCTGCCTACATCACCCCACTGCTGGAGCCTAAGATCCTCCTGGACAGAAAAAGCCTCACTTCCTGACTCTCCAAAAAAAAAAAAGGGAACTCGATGTCCTGCCAGTCTGGGCTGCAGTGTCAGCCAGTTAAAGTGGAACTGGGTCGCTGAGTTGAAAACATATGTTCCACCACCATCTGAATTCCCCTAAGGCTGAGATTCTGAAACAGACCTAGCAAACACAGTGCTCTGTGGACAACACTGTGAAATACTGATAACTTTCATTTCATTTTATGGAGCAGTAGCCGTTTAATTGGTAGAAAACCTGTGTGCTTTAAGTATCATGAAGTAGAATGCTCCCTCAAGTTCCTACAGAGCTCTGGCCCCTATAGCCCTTAAGCCCAGCAATTGGTATCCTCACACAAGTTGGGGAACAGCCTGTTCAAAACTCTATGGCCCTCATCACCTCCCCCCAGGCAGCCCTCCAAAAGTCCTGCTAATAATAATAATAATAATAATAATAATAATTTTTAAAAGGAAAGAAACAGCTCTTGCTAACAACTCCTATACCTGAGGCCACAGGGCTGGGTCAGTACCCATAGCTAAAGGAGTACCATGTCATCTTATTCCCACTCTTTAGATATATGAGCAAAAAGTATTTCTGTTTGCCTCCAGCAAAAGCAAAACAAAGCAACTTTTACTACCACCACCCCTTCCCCCAGCAGTCAGATCAATCCCTGGGACCCAGCCACCAGTCATCCCAGATGCTCTGGGCAGACCTGAGCCCAGTGTAGACCAATCCAGACCATAGCCACAGACTGAGAGGTGCTCCAGCCTGCCCTTGTGTGGGGCTTTACAGCTGGCCAACAGCACCCACAGCTCAGTCTATAACCCAGAGCTACCTTGGAGTCATATAGAGGCCACACCCTACCCCGGCTCTACCAGTTAGCAACTCTGTGGCCTTTGACAAATTACTTAGCTTTGCTCATCTCCATTTCCTCATCTGTAAAATAAGATTGGAAATGCAAGCCTTCGGGGGCCTCAAGTTCTTTCCAGAATGAGGCATGTGCCTTGAGTTGAAAATAGATTTGCATGCCTATCTCACGTGGCTGTTGTTGTGAGTGGGATCTACGAGAGTGCTGAGGGCAGATGTGCTAACCTGTGAGGTACGCCAGGGAAGGTGGTGGAATTGTTTCTTATCAGAGAGGGGAAACTGAGGGTATAAAGGACAAAACCATAGCCCAAGCTCAAAGATCCAGAAACTAGGGCTGCCTCTCCCCTCCCCTTCCAAGCCAGCCTAGTTTGGGAGTGGGGCAATGTTGAGGAGACCAGGGAGCCATCCTTGAAATAGGAGCCAGATCTCCATGTTTCTCTCCATCTGTGAAGCACTGGAGCTCTCTGAAGCCTTAAGGGACCTCCTGGGAACTTTTAAAATCTGCTACCCAATTAGAGGTGCCTTTTGTCTCCTTAAAAGCAGTTGTTCTCCTAGACTCTCATGAGCCAGTCACGGGGAGGTGACAAATGACAATCTCACCCTGCTCTGAGGTGGTAATATCCCCTCTGCTTTCTCTCTCTGCTCCACCCACAGACCCAGCCCCAGTTTTGCAGAGCCCAGATGGGAACTGGGTGGCCCTGAAGGATGGCGCTCTGCCCCCAACCCGCCTGCTGGCCAAACCTAAGAGTGGGACATTTCAGGCCCTGGAAGTAGCCTCCAGTGTGGCATCTGCCTATGATGAGATGGGCTCCGACAGTGAAGAGGACTTTGACTGGAGTGAGGCCTTGAGCAAGCTGTGCCCACGGTCCCAGGGTCTGCCCAGGAAGCCCCAGCCTCTGCCCACACAGGCACAGGGCTCTGGCCAAGGCCCCTTAGCCGCCTTCCCCTCCTCCGGCCTCTCCTCCAACCTAGAAGCCATGTGCTCTGACTCGGAGACTTCCTCGGCCAGCTCTTCTCGGGAAGCTGGGCGCCGGGCCAGGCTGTCCTGGTTGCAGAGGAAGGCCCCCAGGAACCCTGCAACTGAAAAGATGCGCCTGCAGGGAGAACTGGATGTGAACTTTAACCCCCAGGCAGCCAGCGGGGAGACCTCAGACAGCAGCGAGACTGAGGAGGCACCCCATGCCGCAGACCGGCGGACAAGGAGATGGAGGAAGGCCCGAATGGGCTCAGAGGAGCCAAGCAAGGAACCATCTTCCCCCAGCACCCATCCTCAGGATCTGGACACACATCAGGTAATAGTACTGCATGCGTGCAAATGCTCACACACTTTTTAGGTAGGATGTGCCCTCCTCTAAGCACTGGCTTTGGAATCCACAGACCCAGATTCTCATCTTGGTTTTGCTGCTAACTAGCTGAGCGACTGTAGACAGGTCACATCAGTTCTCTGTGACTCTATGTCCTCTTCTTTGGAGAGAATAGCTTTGAATTCAAAATGGGGTTTTTCAAAGGGTTTTCCTCAGACCAGCAGCACCAGCACCACCAGGGAACTTGTTCAAAATTCTGATTCTCAGACCCCACACCAGACATGCTGAATCAGAAACTCTGGGGATGGCGTTCAGCCAAGTCTGTTATGAAAAGCCATCCTGGTGAATCTACTGTGCACTGAAGTTTGAGGGACGTTGGCCTTGGGTTAAGTGTAAGGGAGCCAGAGTCAGATTGCCTGGGTTCAAATCCAACTGTGTGACAAGGTATTTCTCTAGTTCTCTGTTTCCCCATCTGCCAAATAGAGATTATACTAGAACGTACCTCAAAGGATGGTTGTAACAAGTGAATGATATAATGTTCATAAAGAGTTAAGCTCTGTTCTAGACACAGCACAAGGACTCAGTAAACCTTATCTTAGTATGATAGCCCAGGGTGCCGTTTACTAACATTCTGTGATTCTTTGGTCCACACACTCCCCTCCTCAGAATTCACAGTAGCTCTGTCCACATGGTTAGTCATGAACTCCTCTGTAAATGTGATTAAAGATATGAACTCTTTCCCTAGAAAAAAATGCACCTGTACACACATACATACACACGCGCATGCCATCGTTTTGCTTACAATTTCAGATCACTTATAGACTCCCATCCAGATTAATTTTATATTCTCTAAATATATTGACCCTGCTCATTCCCAGCTCTGTGCCTTTGATTGTGTTGTCCCTTGCCCTTGTCCTCACCCTTTCTTCTTCAAGCAAAGACCTACATATCACCATAGACCCGACACCAAACATTGTGGAGCCCACTCTGAGTTCCCCATAGCAGTATGTTTTTAAACTCAAAAGTGACACGTGTGGTCTGGAAAGTTTAAATGATCTTGTATAAGCAATGGATTGCAATATTTGAAGGGAAATCTTATAGAAAATCTAGTTATGTTGCCACTGCCTTCAGGAGGTAAATAGCGATTGCTCACGTTACTGTCAACCTGACTCTTTGTACTCCTGGGGAAACCACACCCACTTCCTAAATATGATTGCAGCTCCCATAGTACCCAGCGACCATGCCCTGCACTCTTAGTCTGAGTTCCGCCAAAAGTGGAAATAACAAATTCAGGATGGGCACCAATTCCATACACAGCCCTGTTAGCTTGTGTAGTACCTCAGAAATCCCTCAGATGGAGAAGAGAGAGACCAAGGTCTGAGATGAGAAACTATCAGTGAGCCCAAAACTGCCCCCCACAGCTGTGGGCAACTCACACAGGTCCAGGGGATACAGGTTGGGACTTCATCATTGTCTGCTATAAGACATATGACTGCCTCTGCCAGATCCCTGATCCTGGGTCCCCCCATGAAGATAGTTGTGGACTCAGAGGTCCTCAAGTCAAGAATCTGGTATCAGTCTTTCCTGACCTGTTAATGTATTACCTAGAAAAGGTCTTTTATTTAGTCTAAGCTCTCATTTTCCCATCTGTAAAACAGAAGATAGTTTAAAATCTAACTTGTTAGGTTGTTATAATCATGAAGTAAAAATTAAGTTATGGTTCAACTGTGCATCATTATTATCTAGCTCAAGTGTAGACTGCTGTCCAGAGACCTTGGGTGACTTGCCTGAAAGGCTATTCTAAGGGGTGTCTGTATGATTCACTTGCAGGTATAAAATTCCACATCTTTACCTCAAGCAGGTGCCTGAAGCTTCCTATTTATTCTGAAAAGTTGGCTTCTGGTGTTAATCTTTGCAAAGCATCCATAGGGAGAAGACACCTACCAGGAGAAAGCCTCTGGGACCAATCAGTATTGCCTCTGCCTCCTAGGTAGTGACCTTGAGCTAGTAGCAGTCTCCTCCCTTCTCCACTAGGTGGGGATGGCGCTGCACTTCCAGAGACATCTAAACCCTGGTTCTTTTCATCCTTCCTTTGATTTAGTTGAGTAGGGCAATTCCCCTTTCCAAAACACACACACACACACACACACACACACACACACACACACAATGAAATTATATATTTAAATTGTTTACTTTTTAATTATATAATTAAATGAATACGATATAATGTTAAAATATTAACACACACAGATGCAGTTCCCTGTGACCGCAACCCTGAATCCCTGTCATCTCCCTCAAAATGACAATAGATTAATTTGGTGTGAATTCATGCAGATATTTGTGCATTCATATGCATAAAGTTCATTTAGAAATATAGTTCAGTAAAGGCATCTGTGTTTGAGAAAAATTTGCATTTTTCTCAAATTCTCCAAATTCTCCCACCACTTCCTCTCAACAATAAGTGATGGAGGAGTCAGGGTACGCAGAGATGCACATTCTACCTGCAAAAGATCACATCATGATGGCTTACTAAGAGGGGTTGTGGGGGTTGGAGCAGTCCATCCGGGGTGCAGACAATAAGAGATGCACTGTCTGTAGGGAATTTTAAGACAATAATAAATTCAATGAAAGCCAGTATTTATTGTAACCATTCATGCACGGATGATCCTAAGCAATACTAGTAATAACATTTCCTTCCCCAGTGGGTCGGGTACCTCCCTCCTGACCCCCTGAGTTCCATAAACATGGCTATACAAAGACTGTTTTTATTTTTAAAATACCACAGAGAATATGGTGATGCAAGCCTCTTTATATAAGCATAAGAAGTGGAATTGCTGATTTGAGGAGTGCATGGGTTTTTACTTTTAAAGTAGACTTGCCAAATTAAGCTCCCAAAACTTCAGAGTAATTTACATAGGCACAGCAGTGCATGAGTATGCTCTCTCATGTTGTCAACAATAGTGTTGTCAGTCTGTTAAACTTTTGCCAATTTTATGTGAGAAAAAAGTTCTTTTTAGTTAACATTTTCATAATTGCTACTGAGATTGAGCCTTTTTTCTGTTGAAGGATATTTGTATTTTTCTTCTGTGAAAGGCATATTTGTATTTTTTGTCTATTATTTCATTGGACTGTTTGTCTTTTCCTTATTGATTTTTAGGAGACAGTTTTATTTTCTAACAATACTATAGACTTTAGTTCTTTGATGGTTACACATGAAAATGTTCTCTTGTCTATCACTTTTACCTTAAGTATATGTCACATAAAAAATTTTGTTAATAATAGTTTATCAATTATTTTTGGTTATTAGTTAGCTATCAGTGATTTCCTTTATTGTTTTCTTGTACTTTGCACCTAGCTTAAGGTCTTAAATTCCCAAGGTTTTAAGAATTTTTTTTTCAATTTTTTTCTAAGTTTTTAAACCTTGTAGTTTTGTGTTTTCTATTTAGCCTTTTAGTCTATCTGTATTTTACTTTTCTGGATTATATGAAGTAAGATCTAACCTTACTTTTTTCAAATTAAGCATTTGTCATCAAATTATTAAATAATTCATCACTCATCTGCTATTTTCAGATGTCCCTCTAGTATATGTTAAAGTTCTTTTATATTCATGAGCCTGTTTTTTAACTTTCTATTTTGTTCCCTTGATCGAGAAGCCTTATTCCTGTGTAAATACTACCTTATTTTAATTATAATAACTTTATAATGCATGTTGGTTTCCAGTGGATTGTCTTCCCTTCACTGTTGTGGATTTAGCTGATCATCGTTTTTTTTAAATACCTTAGCTTTTCTCAGCAAGGTGCTAAGCATTTATGCTCAGATAAATGATCCTTCAAAATCTGTTCTTCAGTTTGCAAAAACGTCTTTTTAAGTTTTGATTGGAATTGCACTAAAGATATATATCTACTTGGGAATAATTTATATCTTTATAATATTGAGCCTTTTCATCTAAGAATGTGGTACTTATTCCTATGTATTTACTTTCTATAAAATTTTATAGATTTTTTTCAAAGCTCTTACACTTTTTTGTCAAGTAATTTTTAATAATCTTATACATAGTGTTGATGTAAATTAGATTTTTTTATTTACTACATGGTCTAATTGGCTTTTGCTGGTGTATAGAACACTATTGATTTCATGTTTTTATTTTATAACTTAGTACCCTAATGGATTATCTTCTTGATTCTAGTAGTCTTTCAGGTGATCCTCTTAGCTATTCCAGGTGGATAATCATATTGTCTACAAGTAATGACACTTTTATCTTTTCCTTCCCATTATGTGTATTTATATCTCTTTCTTATTGCTTTGGTGACAACCTATGCTACATTGTGAATCTGTAATGACACTGCCATCCTGTCTTTGTCTTGCTGCTATCCTTAGTGACCTGCTTCCAGCATGTCACTATTAAGTATGATGTGAACTATAAGGTTAGTACATACTGTATTATCAAAATGAGAAACCGTCTATTCTGAGCTTCCTAAACAATTTAAATCATGAATGTGTGTTTTAGTTTATCTACTGTTTTTTTGCCATCTATTGAGATGATCGTATGGTTTAGCTTCTATACTCTTTGTTAATGCTGAAAAGTACATTAATAGATTTAATTTTGAATCATCTTCTCATTTGTTGTGCAAATTTTATGACTATCATTTTTTTTCTGTAAAACCATATTCCATTTGCTAGTTTCCTTTTCTATGCTATGTTGCTCAGTTTGATATCAAATTATACTAGTGACTTCTTGACAAGGCTTCTCTATTCTATATTATTTTCTAAAACACCTTATATGACAGTTTCTGAAAGTCAGGAGAATTCACCTATAAGGCTTCCAGGCTTGCTGCTTGGGCAGATCTTTTACTTTCTTTATAGATTCTCCCTTGGATACTAAATAATCTAGATTTTGTAATTCTTCTTAAATCCACTATGATAATTTCCATTTTTATAGGCAATCATCTATTTCATCTAGGTTTTCAATTTTACTGACATAATAT